CTATTTTAATGTGAACAATTACATATCGTCTACATGATTATACAATGCTTCATTGTGTTGCCTGCTGATTAATCTGGATGAATGAGTGCAAGTTGAATGTCACAGATTTTTCTCTCCACTAATTGTACAGTGCTGCAACTTATGGATGACAGAAATACATATAGTTTACCAATAAAACAGAGTCTGGAGGAGACATTAAGGAAATTTTAAGTTGCATAACAAGGGAATTTGAGATATTTTGGATTACAGAGATATTTTCAACTAGAGATGAATCTTTTCTAAACATATATAACAACAGTAGCATAATATAAAAGTATTTATATTCCTTTATTTTTTTGTTTATATTTTGTAAAGTTGTAATCATAAACTTTAATGTATATTGGGGGAATCTTGTTATAAACCTTCACAAAGTACTGCATAGTGGTGAAGTGGAAGGAAATCATTATTATTTTAGAAATATAAAAAGCTGAAAGGTATGTGAGCTCCCCTGAGTCAATGCATTGCAAACATAAATTTTTGTTCAGTCACAAAAGCTATGTTATTTCTTCATTGTGTTCACTAAAGTGCAAAACACACAAATTTTACATTTGTGCTTCTTTTACATTTGTGTGTTTTGCAGAGGCCCAGTTTGATTTAGTACTGAACATTGACTGTACCATTTCAAAACATGAATATGTGTATTGAAATTGCATATTTATGAATATTCTTGAAACAACTGGATGCATCCCAGATCTACTATACCAGAATCTAAAGAACTGTTAATGAACAAATTTTTGGGAAACTTGTTGACATACCAAGAAGGTAATGGTAATTCAGTCCTTTTCAGGTGTTTTGGTGGAACTAGGACTGAACTGGAACGAAAAACGCTTTGTGATTTTTGGCTATGGCGCCCCACCATAATTATTTATACGACATGCAAAGGTACACAACGTACCAGAGGATATATTCACACGATGTGTTGTTTTGAAAGTCAAAATAAAGCACAGCAGCTTACAAGGAGGAGACTGACTGTGTAAAAAAAATTAAAAAAATTGACATGTTCTTTTACTACTCCGTTCATTTCAGGAGAGATGAACAGAGTAGTCATCCTGAAGTGAAAGGGAATATCAGGAAATCTCAGGCAGAGATGTATTTTCACTCTTTTATGGAATATACTGTTTATACAAAAACAGAAATATGCCAATAGTAATCCTATATCCATCAAAGTGGCTTCTTCAAGTAAGAAAAACTGAATTTCACTACTGTTACTTCTTTGGTTACACTATCAAAAATAAATCATCTATTTGAGCAAAGCAATGTTTCTCTAATATTATAAAAATAACTGAAGGCTGTTACACCTGCTACACACTGTAACTTTACGGCAAGATAAAATAGCACTAAATTGAATACCAAGGAGCATATTAATTTAACATTACATTATTTGAAAATAAAGTCTGTCTCACACAGGCTTGTGCTCAAAACTGTAGTTTTGTACACCAATCCGTTATGACTATAACCTAATATTATAATCATTTCTTGTGTTCAGCATTTCTACATTTGGCTGCAACTTTCCCAGATAGTATTTTGTGATTACTAAACACATGTACCATGTGTTATATGTTACAGTCTTGGTAACATATAACGTCCCCACTCCCCATATGTTACTGTGGCTGTGACACATAAAGCCATAGTGTTACTTTGGCTGTATGTTTAGGGCCATTGTCCAGCTCGAAAGTGAACCTCCATCTGAGTCTCTACAGACAAAATGTGTTTTAGAGGGCGGATCTTGTTTTCGTCCAGCATTACCTCCCTAACCAGCTTCCCCACAGTATCATTCTCCTACCACCATGTTACAAGGTGGTAACTTCAGTACATGGTTAGTTATCTACCACTCACAGATGTCTCATGGGCTTTGGAATTGTGTCACAGTGTTTACATTCTCACATGGTGGCATAATACAAGCTTTGTGGGATTTTCAAAGCTTGGGATATTATTTTATAACTCAACCATCCTTTAAGCATTTCACTGTGGCCCTGACTCTGGCCCTAATGTGCCTAGTGTTTTCCTTGGTCTTCATGTTGCTGTTTGTTCCATGATGTTCTCTATAAAACTCTGAGATCTTTACCGAGAGTTGGATTTGTACTTGGATTAAATTGCACAGAAGAACTTTATTTATTAATTACACAGCAGGATGTTGATTGCATTGGATTTTATGGGTATCAGGGTAAAGAGTTAAAAACAAATGACACCACAGCTTTTTTTATTTGAAAAACAATGTCATTTTCTCTCCACTTCACAATTATATGTTTCATTGTGTTCTTCTGTTCCATGAATCAGCAACCTCTAGTATCCAAAGAGCCATTTATGCTATTACTCATGCTAAATAAATGTACCTTGAGCTGCAAATGGTCCAACACGACCATTTGACAAACAAATGTAATATAAAAAATGTAAAAATATTATGTTTTATAAATACTTACAACATATAATATTTAATATTGGTAAAGAGTCATAACTTTATTTCTGTTTTGAAGTTCCAGAACGTAGAAACATATTAAACTTGTGCAAAAGAGAAGTTCTTCACCTTTATCTTAAATTTGTATGACTTTACACTATTAAAATACATTGCAAGGCTGTGAAAATTTCCATTTTTACTACTTTTAGATTTAAGTGCTCAATGCTATGTCATTTTGGACCAAAAGGCTCCACAGATCTCTGGTCTATTGCAGTGAAATACAAAGAAACATGTAATTTTAGAGTAATAAAATGAGAAAGACTTCAAGAAAATAAGCACTTTTCCAGGACACTGCCTCCAACATTTTCTTCCATAAATAAAATCAACAATGTTTTCTCGTAATTAACATATAAATGTACCTGCATTCTTTTATAGGGTTTGCATCTCATCCTTGTGATTTGCTCCCATGCTCCAATACCTGCAACACATTTTTTTACATTAGAAAGTACTCCTGAAAATATCTGTAACTAAAAATATGAGACCTATCAAAAAGAAATAAAAATGTAACAGTAGGGCCACAGGGTTAAGTTTAAATTTGATACCAAAACTCTACAACCTTGTTGAAAACTTTATAACAGTTATAAAGTTTTCTTTTGCTACATCATAAAGAAGTGGTGATGCAGAACATCTAAATTGTATTCATAATTACTTTATGATGTTCATAGTAAAAAGCCAGAAGAATAGTGGCTCCATAAACAATTTATTGGTTAACCTTTTACATTTTGCAAAAATGCCAGTGGAGGGATTGAGGTCAAAGCTAAACACAATGTTTTGTATTTATTCCTCCACCTTGTAGAACTCTGCTTATGCCAAATATTGTAGTGACATTTTGTAGTCCAAAACAAATCAAATATGATGCCAACAACCCTTTAAAGGATCATTTTGGGAAAAGAAAATGCTGCATTAAATGTTTAATATACTGGAGAAATGTGGAGATTGTTTAAGATTCATTGGTTGATATGGGACTCTCACATGTTGATGATAACCTTTTGTAAATTTATCACATTTTCAAGTTATCACAGTATTACCACAATAATTTATAAAACTGTCTAAAACAGTCTAATTGTTTCAATTAAAACATAAAAATTGAACACATTCATTATTATTATATAATTATATTAGAATATTTTGTATTTGAGGAGACTAAAGGGTAGGCCTAAATGCACTGAAGGAACTGCACATCTTTTATTGCTTTTATTGCCTTGGCTGTCAGGAGGCTGATCCCTGCTAAGCCTGAGTAACCGAATGTCTGATCCCTAACTTACCATGTGGGGCCATTTAAAGGTCACACACACACCCACAGCATACAACATATTTAGAATAAGACAAATAAGATATAAAATATCAGGTTTGGTTGAATCTTTTAAACTGTCTACTGTACCGCTGAGGAGTGTGGCTGATCCTGGACTGATGGAGCTGACTCTGGTGCTGTAAGTGTCCGGAACTCTGTCCATTACTTTCTTGTGGCCAGCTTCTAGGAGCAGAATTTTCTTTCCTGACAAGTTGGGATCCATGCCTATGAGAATTGTAACATATTAATTATAGAGCCTGCATGAAAATAACAGCCTTCACATTTGCTTAAGTCTGTTTGATTATGTGGTGCAGAAACTTTTCCCAATGCGGTCATTATTTTGTAGATCTTTAATGAGCATTTAAAAGCAAATAGCCTAAATTAGTTTAATAACAAGTCAGACTCACCTAGGGAGCAAGCCATTGCAGATCCAACCATCCCTCCCCCGGATATAATCACATCATATACCTCAGTTTTAGAAGAATCTGTCCTATTTTCTGAACACACCAATCCTCTCCTGATGATATTTACAGCTGATAAATGCTTCTCTGTTATAAGACATCGACCCAGTCCGTTTAGGGCTAGAGGCGCCTTTGTGAGCTTGTGCATTATTTTCTCTTCGGTCTGATTTCACATTAAAGAAAAGTAAAAAGAACAGTTCGGGCGTCTGAACGCCGTCATAGAGCAACCAGAGAGAAAGGCTCTCCTTGAATATGTCCTAATAAAGACAGCTGTGTCCTCTCTGTAATCCAGCCATGTTTATTGACAAGCAAGCGCTCCAAAAAGAACTGCTTCCGGCTTGCCGTCCAATCACAATCGACGTAATTTACGTCTCCAATAAGCGACGTTTCACTTTTGTCCACAGGCAGCGCTAATGCTGCCAAAACACGCATTTGGCTCGCTTCAAGAGTGTTAAAAATAAATGTATTTTATGACTCAACTGATATGCTTTACATGAGGTTTGGAATACGTTTGGAAAGAGGAAAACACTTCCTGAAAGTCATCTGTTTCCAGGTTAGTGGCTCATTGTTGGTTTGTAAATACAATCGACTAGTTTTGCTTATTTTCCGCCTAAGAGCGTTGAAACTTATAGGAAAAAGTTTCCACACATGTAGCCTATGCATAAATACAGAAAAACCCAGCTTCTCTGACCCGAATTTATTCTATTCAGCTGAGAACGCCTATGTGTTGTTGCCATGGCAGCGTACACAGAAATGGCGCTGGACTTTTTTTCAGAGTCCTGTCTGTTGTAATATTTTACACGTTGCCTGTTTATCTTCTTGTTTTGTTAGTCACGTGGCTCCAACGACGACACTTAGACAATTAAACAATTTAGAGCAATCAAACTGAGAAAAAAATGACGTAGAGCACTGCAAACAAACCTATTCGACACAAGGTAGGGCATAATTTAGATTTCAGCTTATTTAGGCCAAACAGTTTAATTTTGGTCCAGTGCACCTTAATTTAATTTTCCAAAATCTTAAGAAAAGAATATGCTCCCCATTTTGATTATTATTCTTTGGATTAGCCAGTGGTTCAAAACATATTTTATTGATTGTTTACTAATTTGAAAAGTGAATTAGGCAGTAGTTGATTGTTTACTTTTTTCCTCTCATGAAGGCAGTTGTATGGTCTTTATTTAGTGTTTTTATCCTTGAGCTGCACACACATTGCTACACTGATACAAAGATTGGTTTGCACCTTCAAGGGCTTGACACATGCCAGCAGGAAGAGGCTGAAGTCAAACTCATAACTCTCTTACTGCAATCACCTACTCTTCTAACCCAGGCATAGACCCCTTACTTATGTATATGTGCACAGATGCTTTATATTGCTGAACAACACGTATCTTTTCTGTCTCATTCACAACGTTTTGGTAGTTTGTGTTAGTCTGCAACACTTAAAATCCCAGCAAAACTCATTGGGGTTTGAATGTGACAGAATGCAAATCACAATGATTCTTTCTTCAACAATTTGGTACTAACAAAATGTGAAGGTTGTCTTGAGTAACGGTTAGATCTGACTCTGAAAGCTATGGGCTAATTATTTCTAACCTTCTGTTCTTTTTTTCAACCCTATTTATTTTTGTTATTTTCTATTTTTTCAGTCAGTAATCCAACTTAACATTTATTTAGGCTTTGTCTCACTATATTTTTCTGTCTGTTTTTATCTGTTTGTTTTTGTGCTATAAAACAGAAAAATAAAAATGTCAGAATGTGACACTTTGCTTGTGGAAAGACTTCGAACAGAGCTGATGCTCAAGGCTGACCTCAAGGCTTTGAGAACGACCCTTCAGCTGCAGCTGCAGGAAACAAAGAGCAGACAGGCAGAAGAGCTTGATAAAAGAATTCATCAGAACACTCTCTTGTCAAAAGACAAAAATCAGAAGTATGATGATGAAAGGTTAGAGCACGTGAAGCACACAGTTGTCTATTTTGTTTTATTAAATAATAATCTATCTCGTTAAAATGTGCTTACTGTTTTTCAGATTTGTAGAAAGGAAAGCCACCCCTGCATCTGCTCTTAAGTCAGACAAAAAGGCTTTTCAGTATCACAAACAAAAACCTAATATGTTTTCTCTATCTCTGGTACCTTCAACAAACTCAAAGCACTGTTCTGTTAGAGCGCAGCATTGTGAAAGGTGTCCTTCATCTAAAACAACACTGCAAAAGAAAGAAGAGGAGGAAGAGGCTGAGTGTAAGAAGAAGTTTGGCGCTCTTCCTGTTCCAGGCAATCTTATTCAGCCCATCTACCAGGAGATGATGGAGGTTAGAGAGAAGGAGAGGAAACAAGGCCATGAGCAGAGAAAGGAGTTCCTGCTCTCCATTCAGAAACCTTTCAGTTTTGAGGAAAGAGAGAAAAACAGAAGAGAGAAGGACACGGCAGTGATAAATCGAGTCTCTGAGGATCCAAAAAACAGTGTTCGTGTTCAGAAAACATTCCACAGAAACATGAAGAGTTCAAGACAGCAGAAAGGTGGGCCTTCATTTTCACTGGGTTCTATTGTTTTCAGGTACATACTGATAATCGCCGGAAGAAATAGTGCAAGTAGCTCATTTGGACCAAATTTTTTAGTGTTTTTATCCTTGACTTTGACTTGTACTTTGTTGCCTTCTAAACTCTAAGAGATTAACAATAAATTCCCTATCAGCAGGCCTGGGTCGGTGACCTGTATCAACATACAGAACGATTTTCAATTGTGTTATTGTTATCCCTCCAAAGGGGAAATTTGTTTTGCAGCCAGATATTTCAAACATACAAAACAACAAAACATACATAGACAATGTTAAAAACAGGCAAAGGATACAAGCACCAATTCATAAATATGTAAAATGAAATTATAACTCACAAATTTAGGGGCCTGATTGCTGCGGGTACAAAGGAGTTCTTCCATCTGTTGCTTTTAATCCTGGGAAGCCTGGACCTTCATCCAGTGGGAAGAAGCTGAAAGTCCAAATCTAAAGGATTGTCTGGACAGTGTAGGATGAGCCTTGCCTTAGGAGCAGTATGACAAATCATGTCATTCAGGAGAGGTTGGGCTATCCCAATTATCTTGTTTGCCACAGTAACGATTTTGTGTAGACAGTTTTTATTTTGGACATTTAAGTTTCCAAAAAGGGACTCAATAAAAGACTTATAAAAAAGGCTTATAATCCTTCTAAAAATATTTAGCGTCCTTAAAAAGTCTGGTCTCTCCTGCCCCTTTTTACAGATTTGAACAGTGCTCATATTAAAGGTCCCAGGAATGGGGGCTAATGTGCTTTACGGAGGACAATGTTCATATCTTTTGCTTTTGTAATGTTCAGTTTTAAATTCATTTAAATGGACCACTAAACAAAGTCATCGACAGCAGGGCTTCTATATTCTGCAACAGAATAACAAATACTGCGTCGTCAGCAAATTTCAGAATATGTCTGTTTTGGTAGGTGCTAATACAGTGTAGAGAACATATAAGAGAAGGGACAAAACACACCCTTCTCCTATTCCCTAGAGACAGAGATATATGACCATTTACTTTGAACTGCTGAGGTCTATGCATACCTCAGCATAATCCATAATCCATCTTGCTAAACCAGGACCAATGTTTAATTGAGTTAAATGTTTATGTTGCAGAATTTAGAGTGTTACTGTATTGAGAGCAGTTGAGAAGTCCTTGAACAAAAGTCTTGCATGAGTCTTTGAATCTTCCAGATGTTTATAGAGTAGATTCAGGAGAATGATGGTGCGTCTCAGGCCTGAAATCAGTCCTGAAATTGGCTTGATTTCGAGAAAATTTAAAATAATAAAATAAAATAAAATCTGGGCCGGGACTTTTATGGGGTTTGCTTTTCCCGAGGAAATTTTTCATATCAGCTGAATCAAATAATATATTGACTGTCTCACTGACAGTTGAAGGCCCAGAAAGGGGAGAGATTGGTTTCTCATATCTCAGATAAAAGTGATCAAGTGCCTCTGCCAAGTTTTTTAGTCAGAACTAAAAGTATTCAGCCTAATTGGACTTTCTCTTTTTCCTTTACAGTGTGCCATAGATTTCATGCCAGTGCATGTAGTTTTATATGTAAATTTTGCTTTCCTTATTTCTGATCCAACTTCTTTCATTATGTTTTCTTTCTCTATTTCTGTACCATTTTGATACATTTTATGTTTCTTTACTAAAAGCTGTTTTACATTGTTAGTAATAGTGACCCATGGCCTACTATTTGCATACAGCTTCACTTTCTTCGTCGAGACCATGGCATTTTAACAAAATACAACATAGTTTGAAATGACATCAGTCCTGACTCCAGAGGCAGCTCACAGCTTCCTCAGTCCAAACCTTGACTGTTTTGGAAAGTCTTTTTCTCTCTCTTCAAGACTGGTCTACATACCAGGACTAAGTGAATAGTATTGTGGTTTGATGCTCCTAATGGTGGTTTTCCATATACTAGATCTAGGATCTTATTTCCTCTTGTTGGGCAAGTGATATATTGCTAAAAAAACATTAAAAGTCTTCTTCCCGTTACAGTGATTAAAGTATGCCATAATAAAGTTTGAGTCATCTGAGGTAAGAGTATAACTTGTTTAGAACTGTGGGTATTACTTCAGCAGGGTTTTTGACATTAACCTTAGGATGATTATACACCACTGTTAAAGGTTGCACCACCTTTGATTTATATACAGATGGACCTCTCCGCCCTGAACTTTTCCCATATTTGTTGCATCTCTGTCTGAATGGACAGGTTCTCCAAAGCCAGTTTTAGCCGGGTCAGAATCAAAATCATCAGCTTTGAGCCAAGTTTCTCTGTAGGTCATAAGACATGCATTTTTGTAATCAGACAAATTCATAACGTTGGCCTGATTGAATATTATCCAGATAGATGGAAGCTGGATGCAATTTAGGCCTCGTTTTTTTAAGACGTATCGTCACACTGATTGGCCTGATTTGTCCTATTTTCCATTGTTTTTGCATTTTGCATTTTTCCATGCATAAAAATTCCATGAAAATGAGGAAGCATAGCTCTGGCCTGTTTAGTTTCACACATAAAATCCCAGGAGTAATAAGTCCGAAAAGAGCCTTGGCATTATGCCAATACCAAACAAGGTAAAGTTGTTTGAGCACAGCGATGAGATGCATCGTGTTCTCGATCAACAAAAAGTACCAATTTAAAACCAGATGATTTTTCCGTCATACCAATCTTGTAGTAAACGTTTCTTTTGATGAGAGGCCAAAAATGCCTGGAGTTACTCAAAATTTTCCATGCTTTTTCAGTCTATATTGAGTCAGCTACATTTGTTGCAGTAAATCCAAAATTTATAGCACAACATTAATAATGAACGTGGTGTATCATTTTATTAACAATAGAAATAGTTATTTCATATCTACTTCTAATAAAATCTATTATATTTTACATTTTATTTTAAAAAATTGCAATCGAGGAGATACCGTGAAACAGGAAAGTTTTAACTGAAGATTATCATAACATAATGCCACCTTCTGGTAATAAGTTTGGTTTGGGATGAAATAAGGTTTCCCTTCTGGGAATCACTTAGTGGTTTCCTGCTGAGATCCCTTTTTAAATGACAAAAAAATGTAACAATTATTCAGTACCTTTTAATTAACATTTGACAAAGACATGCAGGTAATGGGGCTCATATCTCTGCACAGATCAGCAGGACGTTTGCAGAAACGTCCAGACACAAATAGCTTCGAAACAACAGAATCCGGCTCAGGCTGGCTGCCTGAAACTTCGCAGCGCCGATCATACCAGAAAAAAAAAGCTGGGTTTCTTGGATGTGAAGCCGAGCTTCAAGCCGAAAATTCTACCTGAGGTCCCAGATTTTAAAAGTCTGCACAAGGCTTTGCAAAGCGAAGCACTGGAGAAAAAGCAGAGTCAAGATGTGATAAGATGTCAGCCCTTCTTCTTGAGGACATCAGCTCTACCTGCAAGGAAACATAAACCCCCCACAGAAACCTCACAGGTGAACCTTTTTTAAGAAGATGAGAAATTCTGTTAATTGAGACAATTTCATAAACCAGGAATGCTTATTTTATATATATATATATATATATATATATATATATATATATATATATATATATATATATATATATATATATATATATATATATATATATACATATATATATATATAATATAGCTGACTGGATAGCTCAATACATAAGGCATCAGTATATCACCCGAGAGGCAGGGTTCGAATCCAGTCTGGGTCCTTAGGCAAGACCCTTCAAGCTACTGCCTACCTCATACCATGAGAGATACTAAGTTGCATAACATGCCGGCTCAGACGTCGCCCGGCCAAACAAGGTCTGCGTCAGGTGTTGGGGAACCAGAGCACCTTGATGACAAATGGGCTACTGGAACAAGACGGAAATGGGCGAGAGATGAAAATGTGGATCTGTTGGAATGCTACTACTCAAGTAACCCTAGTGAGAGAGGTTTACATGCAAAGACTGGGAAGGAATGGTTACTTCGACATCCCCAGTCAACACTAAGCGCTAAACAACTAGTAGCTCAGTGTTCCAACATCCGCAAACGGCAACTGCTATCACAACTTGAGATTGACGAGATACAACACAAATGCTACGGCAAAAGGAGGAACCCGATGTCAGACTGTGGGGACTTAACTACAAGTCCCCACCCAGTGAGGGGATACACGGCCCCAATGAGCGAAACAGAGCTGAACGAGACAGCTGCTGACCTGAGAGAGAATCATGACCCGAATGACAACCAGGCCTCCCCGGCGCCAATTACAACGGCTGAGTGAAGTACCATCTGAAAGTCTCATTGAGAATGTGAATGCAGCATTGAGAACGATCCCTACCATCACCATAACAGAAACCAATGAGCTGATCTACAACTCAGCATCAGTGATCCTTGAGATACTTGGCTATAAGAGCAACCATGAACCCAATACCCACCATGGAAAAGACGGTTAGAGGCTAAATCAAGGTAACAAGGAGGGAAGTGAGCCAACTGTCAGAGCTCACAAGGGTGCAATGAAAAGACCAGTACCCAGAAAGTACAGGCAGATGCCCATACCTGAAGCACTCGAGACTGCCAAACAGAGGCTCCAAGCCTTGTCCAGCCGCCTAAAGAGATACACAAGGAGAATGAATCCAGAAGGATTAACCGGCTCTTCTCCACTCAACCAGCTAAGGTGTACTCTCAATGGCAGGGTAACAATAACAACAGAGCAGACCCACCAAGGCTGGAGACGGAACAATACTGGAAATGCATATGGGAAAGGGAGGCGTCCCACAACAGCAATGCACAGTGGCTGATCTCTCTACGAGAGGACCACAGCAACCTCCCTGAGCAAGCCCCGGTAACCATCACTGTGACAGATGTCCAAGAAAGAGTCTCAGGTATGAAAAACTGGACAGCACCAGGGCCTGACATGATCCATGCCTACTGGCTAAAGAAACTCACTGCTCTCCATGAGCGAATGGCAGCCCAAATGAACCAGCTGCTACAAAGTGGGACTCACCCTGAATGGTTAACTGAAGGGCGGACAATCCTAATCCAGAAGGATCCATCAAAGGGTCCAGTCCCACCCAACTACCGACCATACCTGCCTCTCCACAACCTGGAAGCTCATGTCAGGCATCATAGCGGCCAAGATAAGCAAAACATGGATAACACATGAGCACGGCACAGAAGGGTATCGGTGTAAATAGAGGAGCCAAACACCAACCTCGTATACCGCACAGTTGCCCGAGACTGCAAAACCCGACACACCAACTGTGCATGGCTTGGATTGATTACAAGAAAGCCTATGACTCAATGCCGCATACTTGGATCATTGAATGCTTAGAGATGTATAACATCAACAGGACTCTGAGAGCCTTCATTGCAAACTCGATGAGGCTGTGGAAAACCACCCTTGAAGCCAACTGCAAACCACTTGCACAAGTGTCCATCAAATGTGGCATTACTAAGGAGATGCTCTGTCCCCGCTACTGTTCTGCATAGGCCTGAACCCCCTCAGCCAAGTTATCAACAAGACTGGCTACGGATACAGACTCAAAAATGGGGCCAATATCAGTCACCTACTCTACATGGATGACATCAAGCTGTACGCCAAGTGTGAGCGAGACATCGACTCACTGATCCACACCACCAGGATCTACAGCACTGACATTGGGATGTCATTCGGACTAGAGAAATGTGGTCGGCTGGTCACAAGAGGGGGAAGGTCATCCACACAGAAGGGGTCTCACTCCCAGAAGGAACAATAGCAGACATAGAGGACAGTTACAGTACCTAGGTATACCACAAGCAAATGGCAACCTCGATGAGGTCACAAGGAAAGGAGCCACAGCTAAATACCTCCAACGAATAAGGCAAGTCCTGAGAAGCCAGCTCAATGGCAAGAACAATCCGTGCGATAAACAGCTATGCCTTGCCAGTAATCAGATACCCTGCTGGAATAATTAGCTGGCCAAAGGAGGAGATAAAAGCCACAGATATTAAGACCAGAAGCTACTAACAATGCATGGAGGGTTCCATCCCAAATCCAGCACCCTGAGACTGTACACGAGCCGCAAGGAAGGAGGCAGAGGACTAGTGAGTGTGAGAACCACTGTCCAGGACGAAACAACTAAGATCCATAAATACATCAGGGACAAAGCCTCAACAGACAATGTGCTCAGTGAATGTCTCAGACAACAGGGAACGGAGGTTGAGGTGCCAGAGATACCATCATGGGAGGACAAACCCCTACATGGGATGTACCACCAGCAAATAACCCAAGTGGCTGATATCAGTAAATCCTACCAATGGCTGGAAAAAGCTGGACTCAAGGACAGCACAGAGGCCCTCATCCTGGCCGCCCAGGAACAGGCCCTAAACACCAGAGCAATAGAGGCCCAGATCTACCACACCAGACAAGACCCAAGGTGTAGGTTGTGCAAGGAGGCCCCTGAGACAGTCCAGCACATCACAGCAGGGTGCAAGATACTGGCAGGGAAAGCGTACATGGAGCGACATAACCAAGTGGCAGGCATAGTGTACAGAAACATCTGTGCAGAATATGGACTGGAAACCCCAAGATCAAAGTGGGAAACACCCCCAAAGGTGGTGGAGAATGCCAGAGCTAAGATCCTGTGGGACTTCCAGATCCAGACAGACAAAATGGTAATGGCGAACCAACCAGACATTGTCGTAGTGGATAAACATCAGAGGAAAGCCGTTGTGGTAGATGTAGCAATACCAAGTGATTGCAACATCAGGAAAAAGGAGCACGAGAAACTAGAGAAATACCAGGGCCTCAGGGAGGAACTGGAGAGGGCCTGGAAGGTGAAGACCACAGTGGTGCCTGTGGTCATCGGGGCCCTCGGGCAGTAACCCCCAAACTGGAGCAGTGGCTACAACAGATCCCAGGAACAACATCAGACATCTCAGTCCAGAAATGTGCAGTCCTTGGCACAGCCAAGATACTGCGCAGGACCCTCAAGCTCCCAGGCCTCTGGTAGAGGACCCGAGCTCAGAGGATAAGAACCACCCGCGGTGGGTGAGAAGGGAATTTTTTTTATATATATATATATATATATTTTTTTTTTTTTTAGAGAAAACTGTTTTATGTGGAGTGAATTATTTAAAAGTATATTTTTAAAATCTGATTACATAGAAATTATAGTGATTCATTTAATCCTTTAAAGTAACTATAGATGATCAATTTCATCTTGTAGGTTTTATGTATAAAAATAACTGGATTAGCAGAGGACTTTTAGACCTTGAGCACACCAGATGGTTTCATGTTATAGTTTTGCACCACTTTTTTTTAAGGCTCTCACACCTTCTCTGCTTGATGGATAGTTTGAAACATATCCACCCACCATGTTATCAAGCCTGAACCATTTTTATTTTCAGTTAGTTTGGAGCTTCTCAGATGTCATGCTTCTGACCTCAGATTTCCTTAACTTTGGGATCATTTAGTCCCTTAAATTCATTATTTAATCTTTGTCATTATTTCTGGAAGCAAATCATTTCAGTTTTGTTCTCCTCCTTTGCCTTTCACTTTTATGTAACAAGAATCTCCCTTATGAATGTGGCACTGTTATTCTCTAACTAAATTAAAAAACATTTTTGTGTTCACTAAATAATGTGTAGTGAGGCTGAGAGTAAGAATATGTCAAGTCTTGGATGTCAAATTTTAACTACTTGACAAGAAATAGGCCAAAATGCACATAGTGATAAAAATCTGCACAAAAAATAATTTCTTTGGAGTAATTGGTATGGTGTGGAGAATGTTTTCATATAGCATCAGTGATTAAACTTTGTGATCACTGAACTTTTTCTGCCGATCAAGCATCTTATTGAATTCACTGAAATTGCAATTAGAGAGTACAGGTAACATACTAAACATTTCAGGAGGTCTAAAAAGATTGTCTGACATTATCTTAAAGTGACGTTATACTTAATGTGGATAATGTTTCGGATTAGTGGAAAAAAGATTCTTGGAAACATCCTTTTAAATTTTGCATATTTCTCATGTACAGTGCTCTAAAAGTGATTAGTTGTTAATAATAACAAACATAAAAAAATAAAAGCAAAAACATAGCGCTGGTTAGATATCTTTTGTTTTCTGAAGCAATTAAAATTTTTAGTTTTAATTTAGTTTCCAGCCAGCTGATCACAGACCCTGTTGTTTCTGATTCTTCTACAGGTTCCTAAAATGAATAATCTCGGTAGGAGTAAGTCACTTGGTGCCCTGGGAAGAGTATCTACAGACACTCTTCCCACATACATCACAGATGCAGTGAGGCAGCGCTGTGTCGCCATCAGGTGAGTTGCATTGCTAAGCAGTTAACTACAAACAGAGTTCTTACACATTTTTAAGTGTCATATTTATCCAAACTTTTTAGAACATTTTGGACATTTGAGTACGAAAATGTATCTTTCAAGTTCTATAATTCCCATCACGTTGTTCATAGTTACAAAACATTTTTCATAAAAAAATCAGAGAAATAACTCATCTTTTACTTTGGAAAGAATGTAACCTTATTTTTTTAAGCTAAATTGAAAATACTGGCACTGAAAATGTGTTATTTTAGAAAATGGAATAAGAGGAGAACTAATAAAATCTGGGCCAGGACTTTTGTTAGGATAACTAAACTATTTATTTAGGATAACTAAGCATGTTTTCATACTAAATGTTACTTATCCTGACCTAGAAATGTTAAAAACCAAATTTTAGACTTTTCCAATCTTTGTCAGACATTTTGTCTCCAAATTAGATCTATAATCTGGGTTGCTCAACACATGAAAAGATCTGAAATCACATCTCGTTATTATTAACTATACAGAAAATCAATGGAAATCAGAGAAAGTAAAAACCAAGAGAGTGCAGAATGGTTAAAAAGATACCAGTTGAGATCCCAAGCTTTGAAGAAGACTGTAGTGCTTCATGCAAAGTTGCTGGATCCCCACAGTAGCCTGAAAGACGTGTGGAATGGAAATGCACAGCGCCATAGGTGAGTTTCACAACTTTCAACTTCTGAATGTCACCTTGCAACAGTTATACATGCGGGTAATTAAAACTAATCTTTTTTTACTTAAAGGGAAGCTGATCTGCAAAGAATGAAAGATTACATGAGAGAATTAAGAGACATGAAGGCCCGAGTTCATGAGAGGCCTTATTTGTTTGAACAGGTGAAACAGGTATGTTACTGATAGCTAACACTTTATTACAAAGTGCAATAATGTGGCTCTTCTCCAATGTAACTTTGAGTGGTTTTGACAGAATAATGCAAAGACCCATGCTGAGCAGACTTTCAGGAGAAAGCTGGAGAAAGCTGGGATAAAAGAGCAGTTTGTTGAAGAAACTGGGGAATCATTCAGATTTGATGATGCTGATACGAGCTCTTAAAAGGAAATTCAAAGCAGGTAAAAGAGTTTTTTTTTTTTACAAACTTTGTTCCTCCACTGTGCAGTACAACTGTATCTGGTAAAAATATGAATAGCACTGCTGCCTGAGAGCCAAGGACTTCCTGTGGTTTGGTTATATTACATTACATAATTTTCTGAGCTCTCCCTGCAGTCGCCAGAGAATAGAAAAAAAAAACCCATCAGAGCCAAGTAAAAGTTCGACGTAATTATAATATAGGCATTTTCTAACCCAAAATATCTGACTTAGGGAGGAAAATGTAGAAGACGGGAAGAAAATTGAAGATGTGGAAGACAAGAGCGTGAAGTCCAAAGGGGAAGAAATGCCATGATCAAAAAGGTTCAGGAAGAGCTGAGTTTTTGTGGTCTCTCCACTAGAAAACAACACTGTTTTTAAAAAATGATTCATGTCACAACGAACACCAAGGTCGTGATTGTTTAGGATGTACACCTATAAATTATGAAAATACAAATCATGCAGACTTTATATTCTCAAAATCTTTAGAACTGAATAAAAATAACATTTTATACATTTGTATTTGTGCATGAGTAATACATGTTGCAAACTTGACTTTTGAATATGTAAAATGTATTGTTTTTGTGGTTCTCTTTAGAGTTTTAGTTTGGTCATTAAACCTAAATTAAATGATTGCGTTTTCACTAATCACCCTATGATGTACATCTAAAAGCTATTTTCATTCACACATCATAAAAACTGAGATGAACTTCACAAAACACATCTCTGGGAGAATTTGCAGCGAATAGATTTATTGGTGACACATCAGGCTGTCAGGATTGGGTAGAAAAAGAGCATCTTCCAAAGGCTCAGGGACAGATTTACTGTCCAGGGTAATTTAGCATCTGGCTGCAAATCGTAAATAGTGCCTGTGGGAGAGTCTCTTCCAAAACTGAACTGCAAGCAAAAACATCTAAAGCCCAATTCAGTACTGATCAAAGCCATCTAACAGCAGCAGTAAGAATTAGCACAAAACCACAGAAGAGCAGACCTATATGTAATCAAAAGCCACCAAATATACCAAAGTGACTCCAATTTGGTTTGAAAATAACACTTAAAATGTAGTCATGTCACAATAAGGATGTACCTAACAGCATCGTGTCCAACCCAGGATATCTGTAAACAGGGCTGGAGCCAAGACCACACCTACAGAGAGCAAGATCAAGACTTAAGTCAAGGCCCAATGGTTAACTTTGTCAATTGGTTTGGCAAAGATAAATGGAAAAATAGTTAATCATGCAACCAAAACTATTTGTGGGTATGAAAATAATAATTGTCATAATATTTAAGTTATGAAATGCTGCTACACTTTGATGCACATTCTCTAAACTGAATAAATCAACTTACATTCCACAATAGCTGGATGAGAAACAAAAGACTCCTGAGATTAATAGGAAATTAACAAATAAGACAACAAAGATTTGTCATATTTGTCATGTCATATTTTTTTATATTATAGTTTGGGGTGAGATGGTTGAAACTTGGTTTGGTGTTCCACCAGGACAACCATAACAAAAATGTACCTGTTGTGGACTGTGCCAATAGAAAGTGTGTTGTCTTCACAACTTGCTTGCTTATATTTGAATCTATGTTTAATTTTGATCCTGAGCTGAGTGTGCAACACATTTTGTTTTTAGCATTATGGTACACAGAAAAACGCACAATGCACATGTGGAACGTAAAGGGCTTCTGGCTTTGAAATGCTTTGTCAAAAAGTTTGAAGCCTTTAATTTAGAGGATGATGGAGATGATGTTACAAGAATAAATATTCACAACAAAACGATCATTTAATTTGTTTTTAAAAAATTGCCAGCCTTTCAAACATGAAATTTGAAAAAGAATTATACTGTGAGACTTTGATTTAATTTGTTTTTTATTGTTTAAGTCCCATAAAAACAACAATTGCTTGAGATTGGCATTTCTTCAATGGATGGTTTAAAGTTCTCAGTTATTTCGAGAGCCACACTGCCAGCTAAATAAACAGTCCTCTCAGTGCTTGTGCCTTCTCAGAGACCAGCGCTGCCGTCTGCTCCAAGCCTACAAATCCACATCAAATACTCTGGTGCCCTGGCCTCTGCTGTACTCTTGTGCTTAGACAGCTGGCTGCCAGGAATCTCAGAGATCATTTTTACTTACAAACCACATGGGATGTCTGGATATGTTTGAAAGCGCAGTCAAAGGGTCGTCGGAGAGATCAGGACAAGCCATAATAGACACTTGCGGGCCTTTAAGATGTTCAGGCTGTAAGATGGTGTTGTATGAACATAGACATGGGTAGAGAATGTCTGTGAAAAACTGCATGTATGTGAATTTCAGGTCACATATCTGCAAAAGGATTAAACATGTTTCACCTATTTCTACATTTTTCATGCAGTACTCATGTTGCTGCACATCAAAAATGTAAAACTGGGTTTGGCTTAATTCTAGCTCTGCAAAAGTAATGGGTTTTATGAACAATTTACCAAGTAAACACCTTTATTCATATTATGCAACACTGATCATTGCTCTCCTTTGAAATATACAGATAAGGGTAAAATAAAGGTGCAAAAATAAAATTGATAACTTATTTTAAGAAGTGTTTTCCTCCCATTTTAGAGCTGTAAACTTTACATTTTTTACATTTAATTATTTTTTTTTTAACCACACACCAATTTTTGTTAGGTTTATCATAAAATCACAATACACACACAATTGAAATTACAAGATCATATTCACACTGCATAAGAAGAAGTATTGTCTGACACTAAGGACAGCTAGGATTACCACATTTATTTCAAATTTGCTAAATAGCAGAATCATTTGTATTACATTTGTCAATATCAGAAGTTTAAAGCATCAATATTATTTTAGACAAGTTTAGGAAAGCCCAGATGGTGATTTTATGTTTTCTTTGCAAGAATTTAGTAGAATAGTTCACCATGCTGAAGTTAAACAAAGGCACATATTTGGATGTACTTTAAAGCAGCATCTCAGACACATGCTTCCTCGTGTGAAATCATGGACATATCAAAATAACTGAGCCACAATAGCCTTCGGTAAAATTTCCAGATGTTTTAATGGGCTACATTCAAATAGCTGCCATTCTATTCAGTAGGGACAGGTTCTGTTTCCCAGATGACCATGTCTTGGTGTGAAATGTGGGTATAAACCCAGAACAAAAGCAAGACTCTCTGAAGCTGGTAGAAGTAGAGTGACATACCACAGCAGGGAAGAAACCATTGCTATACAAGTAGCATTAAAAAAAGTCACATTACTGTGCAAAGGGACACAAACCATAATTTTATGTGATATGTCCTGTGCTCTTATGAGACTGAAACTGAAATGTTCGCCTGCAGTAATCAACACTACATTCGAAGGAATAGGAGGAAAACTAGCAAACTTGAGAACATCGTACCATCTGTTAAAAAGATGTGGCAACATCATTTTGTGAAATTATTGAATAAATATTCTAAGACATTTGGTATGAAGTTAAAGCTCAAGTAAAAATAAGTTACAATGCCTGAGGAACGACAACTGTAATGCTTTTAAATTAACAATCTCAAAACCTTGAGAAGCAAAATTGTGGTCAGAGACGAAAAGATGCGGGTGAGTGAAACAGCCTCATACCTGACTCACTTATACCAACTTTGTCAGGAGAAAAAGGCTAAACCTCCTGCAAACTATGGTGAAAATGTTGAGAAAGGATATACCTTATTCAAACCATTTACCGAAGCAATTCTAGCAAATACTAAGGAACTGTGTGTAAACTTCTGAATTTGAACAAAGTGACAAATATACCGCTCCCTTTCTCTCTCACATAATCGTTTTTATGCAGCCCAAAAATGTTTCCACAGACTGAATATATTGGAAAACTCAGTTTAATTAACTTAAATCCGGCCTGCATTTTCTTTTGCTTTCATTGACAGCTCCATCAAGGTTAAATGATCCACAACACACAAATATGTAGTGATGTTAAATGATCACCGTGTCCCTTCTTTGAAATCTCAAGTATTACATGATGAAGCTTCAAGGGCTCCATCCTGTCAGGTTGTCATGGGAACCCCGCATCCTTCCTCACTCTGCCTTGTGGTCCCTCCGGGGAAAGCTGTGCACCTCCAATTTCTTGCCGCACAGCAAAAAAGAAAAATGAAAAAGCCTCTCTCTCCCCAACCTGTTAGATAATACCTAGGAAGGGATCTGCATCGGTCAAAAGTGCTGGAGTAGAGGGAGGGACATTTATTTGAGCAAACTGCAGCCTTTAAACTTGTGTTTGGAGACTGTAAGAGGAAACAAACACATCTCATTTAGATTAATGAGAGGCTGCACGCGTGGCCACAGAATGTTATGATCACGGCTGTTTGAGGAGTGGTTATGTGTAGTAGATGAAGAATATAATTTCACCAAGGTGGTGCGTTCAGGTCATTTATTATTGTAGCCATTTAAATCCCCACACATTTCATTTTGTGAAAGCACGGGTGGCAAATGTAGGCAGCTGAGGATACATCTCAGAATAGAAGATGAAGGCCTCAAATAGATTTCCCCGTCTATAAACCTGCAATTGTCAAGTTAAAAGAGGCTCACACTGTGTTCTTCTGGTTATTTAGCTTTTCTTCATTTCTTGTTTAATGTATTCTCTTGATTATAATGTAAAAATCCAGTGGGGCAGTTGTTGTGCATATAGGCTCTCTGTGTACTTTAGACCTCGGTTCACCTGCAGGAGGAGCTGTGGTTTGCTGCAGCTTCTCTGGAGCTGAAGAGAGCGATCCCTCTTTTTCTCCTTCAGTGGCATGAATAGCATCCCCAGTGCTGGAGAGAGAGCATATCAGGAGGCAAACGACGAGGGGAGAGAGATAGCAGGCGGTGTGACAGATAAGAGTGTGGCAGAACTTGCCTTCCTGACTGCACCGTGGGTCGGGGAAAGAGAGAACAAGTGGACCTGAGTGTCAGCCTGCAGCCTGCACCATAATCACTCACTCACAGTCACAGAAACAGTCATTCCCCAGAGCCCGGCTGCAGCAGAACTTCAGAGAGACGACTGACCTCAAAAAGGTACAGTATGGTCATTTCTCCTGCAGAGGTTTCCTTAAGTCCAACATGATTAGCAGGTTGCTGCTCATGTTTCCAGGTGGAATAGCAGAAGTTTTGTTGTTGTTGTTGATTCTCAAAGATATTGTTTTTTTTATTATTTGGAAGAGTTATATATTCGCCCACCAGAAAAGAGTGTCTTGTGCTTGCAGGGATGATGGGAGAGCTGTCAGTGAAAGATAAGGAGCTGATACGAGGCAGCTGGGAGAGCCTGGGCAAGAACAAAGTTCCTCATGGTGTCATCATGTTCTCAAGGTAATGTTCTGCTAAATCAGCGTCTGAACAGGTTGCAGTAATTACAGTCGGAGAATAATCTAGTTGTTTTCTGAGGGATTCTTCTTTTACTGTGATGCAGGTTAATCCTTTAAATGTTCGGTTTCTTAATAGAATATGTAATACAGGTATTCAGAAAGAGTCGGAGAAGATTTGCTGCTCTCTTCCCCATGCAGACAGGGACTAGAGGCTTGACTTGTTGCTTGGCGACAGACTAATCCATAATTTAGACAGCTGCAATATATTTCTGAATCAATGCCATGTGCGTGAGTGCACTTATAGAACTGTGTGGTATTTGTCTGTGGCAGATTGTTTGAGCTGGACCCTGCGCTGCTCAACCTTTTCCACTACAGCACAAACTGTGATTCCAAACAAGACTGTCTCTCCAGCCCCGAGTTCCTGGACCATGTCACCAAGGTGAGCCCACTCCCACAAAATCCAGAGACATTTGAAAGTACAGTTTTAATTGTTGCCTTGCATGCTTCCCCCAATTCACCCCAGGTAATGCTGGTAATTGATGCAGCGGTGAGCCACCTGGATGATCTCCACTCTTTGGAGGACTTTCTGCTTAATCTTGGGAGGAAGCATCAGGCAGTGGGAGTCAGCACACAGTCATTCACTGTAAGATCAACATACATGTGCAAATCAGAAAAAGCTTTACCCTGCTTCAATAAGATCTATGCATTATTTTGTAAAGTTGTTTTTTTCACAGGAACTATTAAAAAAAAAAAACTAAACAAAAACAAACTTGTAGTTTTAGATGTCTTGTTTTAAAATACAAATTATTAATGTGAAATGCAAGCCCGCCTATCTTTTTTTAGATGAGAAGAAATGAAAATTTGGTTTCAGCTCTGACGTACTTCACTTCTCAACTGGCACAAGCAATGCAACATAACGTCACATATATAGATACAAACTGGGTTAGTGAGTTTGTTTCCACATCAAATTTGCATGTAACAAAAAGTTAACTTTTTTATCCTTGACCTTTTTCAAACTCACAAAATTATTAGTATGTTAATATCATTTGACATCTTGTTCTTCGGTTCGTTTAGCATTGAAACAAATATGACTTTGACTTTGAGCTGAACAAAAGAACCAGTGCCACCTAGAATCACAGAATTGTATGCCTAAGAAAATATTAAAAGACAGCTTTTCAATTCTCTCATATTTTTCTAATTATTTTCTTCTTGAAAAGTAGACCACATAAAATTTGATTTTTTGATACCCCAGGGTCGACCCTGTATTTATCTTTTGGCCTGGAAGGGCCTCAGTCAGAGGCATGTCTGGATTTTCCTCCTTCAGATGTCAGATAAACATTAGTTTGGTTTTACTCACTGGTTTCTGATGAGTACATCAAATTGCCAAATACATATTGATCTATTTTTTTCTTTTTTTATCCTGCCTTGATATTTCAGCCATACTGTATGGAGAAGCTGGTTGCCTACATGTCCATATGCATGCCTAAAATTAGAATTGTGTAAACTAGAATAAGTCTTAAGTTTCTTTTTCTAAGGTTGCCTAATGTTGCATAATGAGCTCGATGTTGAAAACACTCTCTCCATATCTCACAACCCAGTTCAATGTGAAAAATGAACTTCCCTCAACAGTTATACATGCTTGTCAGCAGGTTTTGTACATCATAGTGAAGAAATGTAAACCTAGTCTTCTTTGCAGAATTGATCTAATTCAGCCTGACTGGAGGAGTTTTAAAAATGAATATGTCCAATATCAAACCACTGCATCTGAGCTAGATTAATGCTGCATTTTGACTATGCCACTTTAAAGCATGTTAATTTAGAGTTTTTTGGAGCCATTCAGAGGCAGTCTTAGAAGTCTGCTTTGGATCTTTGTCCTGATTCTTAACCCTCCTGTTCTTGGGTTTAAGGTTGAATATTCTCCTTTATGATTTCCCATTTGAAAGCAGAATGTATCATCCAGCAGAACCATCAATGAAAGAGTTTTTTTCTCTGAATTGCTGTTAGTTTTGTTGCGATGGGTTTTATTTTATTTTTGTTTAATCTTGTCGGTTCACAACATATTTTATTGAAAGTCTTGATAATCAGCAAGATAGGTTTGTTTTGGTGGGCCAATGTAAGAAGAATCTTTGCGTTTTTTTGTGCTCAGCAGGGCTTTAAATATAGTTTTAAGTATCATATCATCCTTGTGGATAAGTCGATGGTATTCTTTTGGTAGTAATTTTGGTAGGCTGTCCAATCCTGGGAAGATTCACCACTGTTTTCCATTTGTCCATAAAGTTTCACAGTAGCAGCGTTTCAATTAGAAACATGTTCAAATTTTGTTAATATTCTGCTAATGTTTCAAAAACAATTTCACAATTGCAGTATTTCCACTACATAACAAATGGAGCTAGAATCACATATTAATAACCTTGTTCATTCAATGTTATTAAAAAACGTGCCGCGCCATCATCCTCCTACCACTTCCTGTCATCTCTGTCATCTTTTATGGCACCAGTAACATCTGGTTGTTGATTGTGTGACTCATAATAAGAAAAACTGTTTCCATTGGAGTTTTGCAAAATAAAGCCGAAATCCTAGAACAAAAACTTTTAAGTAACAATGTATTTTTTCAAAATTAGCGTGTTGCCATTTAGTTCCAATTTCAATGTCAAACCAGCTTTGTCTGCCTGCCTTAGACTGCAACTCTTTCTAAACTGACTGATATTTAAAAACTTACTTTTGATCGTAGCATGATGTATTGTCTTTTGAGAATTGTCTACTTCATGCTGTCAAACAGACTCTATTTAAAGGATTTCATAGTTCTGCAAAGATTGCATTAATCAATCATGGTTGTATCTGGAAAAATTAATTTAAGAAGAGATGTGGGTAATTCATTAGGTAACATGGTTTCCCAAGTTGGTATAGTTAATTTTCCCCTTTAATAAACATAATCATAAACAACTGTTCTTTATATTTGCTAAAGGGGTAACATTTAAGTAGTTTTTCTTTACTTCTGCAGGTGGTAGGAGAATCCCTTCTCTACATGCTGCAGTGCAGTCTCGGCCAGGCGTACACAGCGCCGCTGCGCCAAGCCTGGCTCAACATGTACAGCATCGTGGTAGCGGTAATGAGCCGAGGATGGGCCAAGAACGGCGAGGACAAGGCCGACTGAGGCGCATAGCGGGAGCTGCTGAGCAGTTGCTGTCAAACCATCAACACGGTTGCCATGCCATAAGGTTGTGTAACTGTGCAGCATCGTGTCTTTGGCTGCTGTACATGTGCTCTGTGAGCTGGTTTGTATAACATGGCGAATGTATGGTGTAGTTACACTTTAAAATTAGACAGACCGATTGCAGAGTTTATTTTCTTTGCTGTGGATGTTTAGCTTCCAGTCGACGCTGATGTACAGCTGTGAGAATCAGACGCCGTTGGTCCGTTAAGTCTGGACCAGGAAGCTGAGAGCATTGAAGATCACTGTAAGTTTCTTTGTATATAATGGCTTTGATATATTTACTAAACAACAGTGAATATAGTGGTCTTTATGTTGTATCTTAAGAGAGTTGCACACTTGTGAAATATATATATAAATCTATATATATATATAAAACTATATTATTATATCTAGACATCGCACACTATTCAAACTGTGACTGTTACTGTGGCCAGCGAAGGCAGCTCTATATACATCTGGAACACAGTGATACTTAAAATGTGATTTTCCAGGAGAAAATCAGATCACTTTAGTCATAACTCTGTGTGTATGTGTGTCTCCTGGATTTTTTTAGTTTTTATTACACATGTTTTATCTGAGTTTATAGCAACTAAAGTGAATCAAGTTTACTAAATGCTTATCAGTGGCTACAGACAAGAACTGTTAACCTTACTCAAAGCTTTCTTCAGTGATCAATGACTGTTAGGGTGTTGGTTCACACCTTACTCAACATAGTTTTTGATGCTCTCCTCAGACCGAGGTTTTGAGTGTTTCAGTAGGCGTCAGATGACTGTTAAACGCTACATTTTAGACAGTTATGTGACCTTTAGTGTTTAGTAAAGAACATGTTGGAGCAAATTCAACATCTTTGTTTCTTTGCTGTTTTTATTAAGTGTAAAGGTATTTATTGCAGTTGATTTTCTTTCTAGTGCTTATTAATTGCATTGTTGTCACACCAAATGAAGAGTTATCCTATTACTCCAATGTAACTTTTCTGTAAGTGTAAGTGAGACTTCACAAGGCATGAGTTGGTATGAGATCTTCATACATTTATTAAAAGGGAACAACACACTCGGATATGTTACATGATCAAAATGTGACATATTTAAAAATTTTTCCTGATAAAATAGTCTCACATACTGATCATTAAAACTAAGACATTACTTTATTGGTTTTTTTTTTTTTAACTCCATGTATAGATTAAAGTAGAAATATAAAGTCAACATCTGCTAAATTCTTAAACAACATTATAGGAGTGAGGGGTCGTTCTTCTTAGCTCCAAAAAGTGGGTTTGGACTGATATGAAATTCTCATACTTTGATAAAGTAATAATAGCACGACTGCACCTTAAAATCATATAATTTTAAATAAAATCAGCTAGCATAATCTCGTCAAATTTCCAATTTAGATGTGGTTTGTTTCTGATTGGAAAAGACAAGAGGCATTTTCAAAAAAAGATAAGACATAATAAAAAAATATTATTTTAGAAAAAACAAATTACATTTGAATAAAGAAAGTAGCTAGACTACTAGTAAATATTCTCTTCAATATTTCTTGAATTTTTCTTGAATTTTTAGTTTCTTCACAAATTTTCTATCCAAAACACATCGAAGAAGAAACATTTTCAAAGTTTAAATTTGCCTGTGGTATGAATAATACTGTGTGCTTACTGCACATTATCATTCTGCTCTTTGTAGAATAACACACGTATAACCAGCTGATAATATCTGGGTCAGCCAACTGTTTGACACAACTCCATTAAATAACAGTGTTACAACAATAATAGGTTCCTTCAGTTTTCACAACACAACCTAACTTTTTGCAATCAGACAATTTAGGGTTTTTGTAAGCCAATGAAAGAAAGTTGCAGTGACCACATTTCAGCCAACAGTGCAGAACAAGAAGTGGGAGAGGGATAATACCACATTATTCAATACTTAGATTATCTTAAACCGAAAGAACAGTACAACAGCAAAGTTCAGTGTTTTTGAGAAATAATGTTCTCAAACTTTGGTACCAGTAAGTAGAAAGACTTGGAAACATTCAAATTAGCCTGCGTCCTGAGCAACAGAAGCCCTTTATCAGCCTGCTGACCAGCCATGGACAGCAATAGGCTGCAACACTCAGTGCTCCATACAACCAGAAAAAACTCAAGTCACTCTGGCTCTCATTACAGAAACAGCATGACAGAATATTTTTAAACTTTAACGTTTTAAAGACTGAGCATACCTTGAAATTGGTAACCAGGCCAGGCCTAATCCTAACTGATGAGGATTTTCATCAGTTAGGATGAAAATTATGGTATTATCACAGACCACAGTAATGCAAATAAACTGTCTGCTCTCAGTTATTTGTGTGATATACACAGTAACATGTGTATATCACTGCATTATAAGCTCTAACACTGTATGTGTCAGCCACAGCTGTTATTTACCGTTACAGTAAGAATGCCAAGCATCCTAACAAATGGGCCAAGTATGAAAAATACCACCATTCAACTGTAAATCCAAGCTGCTGACATGTGGTTATTATTGCTTTATATTTATAAAGTTTATTTTTATATAATCTGAATTATTATGGTTTTGAAAGAGCATTATTTTTATTCCCCCAGAACGTCGTGCACTTTACTCTTTTGATATTTTATCTTTCGGTTTGTGGTTAATGATCCCTGCACTAATTGGTGGCAAATTTTAAATTTTTTATGTGGTTTCTCTAACTCAAAGTAACAAAAACAAAACAAAAATGTGCAATTATTATTGCAAACGGAGGGTTTCCAGATGAACAGTCTAAACCACACATAGACTGTTCAGTCTGTATTTTCTCCAGCACGGTTGTAATGTGTATAAGCTGGCTCTGAAGGTGTTGCATTTATAGTGAGTCTTTTCTTAGCAGGTCGTCTTTTTTTCTTACCTTAAGCATTTTTAGCCAACCTTACAGACACGTTAACTGTTTTATTAAGTTTAGTTATGTGTATATATTGGGTGTGTCACTGTCTACCTCATCATAATCAGCTGCTATTGAACTGTGATGACTTCACCTAGTTATCTTTTGACCAAAAACACACATTGTTACTATTATCAGAGTTAATAAAGGTACACACTCTTTGTAAAGTAGATTCTGTCCTGAACTTTTCAGGAGGACATGTTATGTGTTTACTTACAACTAAATAAAGTGATCTGTGGGTATTTCACAGCTTAATGATGTCTTTTCCTTTTGATCTAAACCTGAGTCAATCACACAATGTTTTATTCTCTTCCCACTGACAGCCCATTAGAGAGTTACATAAGATCCAAGTGCCAATTAGTTCTTAATCCTTGCTTGCAGAGATTAGAGCAACTTCAGGCATGTCAGCCCACTTATTCATGCAGCTGCACAATGTCACATCGAGAACATTTTCAGAATGTCTGAATATCAGTCTCTCCGTAAGTAAGTCATGCAACAGTAAAGCAGAGATGGGATGGCAAGTTATCTTAATACACATGGATCATTTCTGTCATGCACAGTTTGGTTGGATCTCTGTAAAAGTCACATCAGTGACTTGGCTGTCTGTTCTGCTGTCGAAGGGGCATTTGACATGGCCTTAATCTGTCTCCCTGTGGTGAACACAGGATCCCTCTGTCTCAATAAGCGTCTTCTCGATGCCAGTTGCCTCAGTTCAAAGCTCATAAAAAGAAAAGCCGCAAAGGTTGACTTTGTTTTGGGCTTGACACATACTTGATCCTTAGATTTGCTAATTAAATAAATTACCTTAAACATAAAAAAACATAAATTATTCACGTCTGACAGTTCTTCAGCCTTACCTTGTTGTGTATCAAGGTCTGTCGTCTGGAGAGGAGTCTGGGAAGAGACAACATGGATTATTTTTAGAAAGTCTGCAACGAGTTTTTAGATTCGAGGGGCATTGAATGTTGTCATGGCAACTGTTAGTGTGATGGCCTTGTATGTGTGCTTGTGTGAGGAAGAAAGCAAAGTCATGCTCAGCCAATCACTCAAACTAAATCATACCATGGTGAGGATGGTGGCTTGGCATCATGCTTTCAGTTGATTGCTCTCATGCTTTCCAGAACTTTGGGACAGCAACACAATCGTGCCAGGCAGGAGACGCCATGCATGCCATAGAAAAAGTTAAGATATGTTACATAAAAGAGTCTCATGATTCTTCTGTTTACACTAAAAATATTCAGCTTCCTTAAAGAATGCAGACTCTGCTGCCCCTTTATACATATTTGATCAGAGTTCACAGGTCAACTTAGTCTCATTTTAAGATTAGGCATCTTTTAACTATCAATTAGTTGTATTGTAATTATGACGTAGTTATCTAACGAATCGTCAGGCCTGCAGGAAAAGGGCAGCAAATATCTCCGCAGACCCCACACATCCTGGTCACTAACTGTTTAAACTTTTACTTCCAGGTCTGTGCTCTATGTGCAAAACCAAGCCGCTACAGTGACGGTTTCTTTTGTTAGTCTCTGATGAAATCAATGAACACCTTACAGGCTTAGTATTCAGCTAAACACAATAAGCAGTTTTGCACAGAAACATCATGCCTATACAAGAAACAAAATGTCTGCAAATATTGTTCCTTTACCCTTGTTTTATTTCCCCTAATTTTGCTCTATTTGTAATTAATGGTTGTATGCTATGAGCATTTATAGCTATTCAGATTTTTATTCTGAATCAGCGTCTCATAAATATGAATTAACTATTGTTATTTACTAGTTTGTCAAAGTTATTACTCAATGACATGATAAAGACTAGAATTGATAGTCTTTTCATGAGTTTATCTTTGGATTATGACTAATTTATTTGTAAGAACAAGTCTCATAGTCATGACTTAGATGTCTCTTAGATCTAACTTGACTGTTTTTTAAATACTACATTTGATGTAGTTATTACATAGCTATTCTAGAACTATGACAGGGTAATCTCTTATGAATGATTTAGGGTCTCATTATTGTCCTGCAATTTTAAAATGTTTCATAACAACAACTGTGGCTTGTTGTCTGTAACTATGACTCAGCTGTCTTGCAATTACAACTTAGTTATCTCTTAATTATGACTTAATATTGCATAATTTTAACAGTTAATACATTATAATTTAATTAGCATCACGTGAAAGACTTGACTAATTGAGTTATCTAAAACATTATGAGATCATATGTTCTTAAAAAAAACTATAAAAACAAGAAGTTCAGATGGACCGAGCTGACTCAGAGAGGAAGACCATTATGCCTTTGGAGCTCTTTTGTGCATGAGGTCTTAGATATTTTTACAGTAAAGCAATCTTAAACACACTCCTCCCTGAGGTGTTGTGTGTCTTCTGGTTAAAATGTGGAAACTAACTCATATGGGAGTGACAGTATGCTTTCAGCAGGAGGCAGAGACATTTTCTATTCTGAGCATCTGGGCAGGGGAGAGGCGGGCAGCAGACCACGCTCCCAAAGGAATTCACCTTTCACTGAGTGGTATGCTCTCAGCAGTTGCCACGGGTGACAGGGGAAATGTCAGGGACTTTTCTTTTTCTTCTTTCATAACCTAGTGCACTGCCTACGATGGATATCCCTCCTCAAGCCTCACTTTTCTCTGCAGGAACATTTCTCCATGTCATTTAGGATTCAATAAAGAGAATAAACATTATTAGCGATCCTTTGTGGTGCAGATGCAATCAGTGGCTGTTAGCTTTCCTGTCTGAAATCTGGTGTGGTCCCAGGCTCCAGTGACATGGCATGAACAGAAGATTGCCCCAAGGATAGTTTGTATGCAGACACACACCTTGCAGCAAACACAAAGCTAATATATGCCTGCTTTTATAATCAGTCTTTCAGTTCTTACCTGGTTCACATGGTGGTGACAGTCAATGCACGTTTTCTTCTATTATAATGGTTCTAAAACTTGTAAAACCTTTGGTACTCTCTGTGATTTCTCTGGCATTTAGATGCATTTTAGATGCTGGGAGGAATTTATCTGTAAAATAAAGATCATTCAGGAGAAATGACATCATTCTCACCTTACTCAATCATATTCTTTGACCAATTAAGCTCCAGAAAAAATAATGTTTCTTGATTTAATCACTTAAAAAATACCCGGAAAGTGTTTCAATACATCTTGTAAGATCTCCAACATAAAATTTTTTATAAAAGTTTTCAGAACCATTAATACATTAAATATTTTGTATTATGAGAAAATATTGTGATGGGTTAAGGTGCCAGAACCAACCACATGTTTTATGAATGTTCTGGAAAGTACTGTAGAATTTCTGTTAAAGTTTTTGAAAGGACTTTGGTAAATAAATGTCTCAGCAACTATGTGATGAGCTCCTGGAAGGATTCATATGTTGCCTCATCATTCAGAATAATGTTTTAATAAGTTCTGGCAAAGAAACCAATAAGACCAAATACAGTAAGTTATAGTTCCTGATAAGATTTCTTTTTAAAAGTGCCTGGAGAGTTCTGCAAAATCGACCTCTAGTTTCTGAAAAAGTACAAGCTGTATTACGTAGCACAATTCCCACCACCAGCACTGGAAAAACCCTCAATAAAGCAACATTTTAAAGAAGACTTTCTCCTTAGCATTACATTAGAACCACAGACAGTTATTTTTAAACATGTTTCAGAACCAATTAAGACAACAAAATGAGGTGCGGTTGTAGAATACAATCTGATGATTTGAACCTGTTTCTTGCAGACATGGCCATGTTTTTCCAGCTCTTCAATGTTAAAGCTATTTAACGCTTAGCTGCTAGTCATTTAAGTCTCTGCAGTAAATCGAGTTTTTCTCCAAATTTAAACACTTTTTAAAGGAGTATTGCAAAATAATTTACCCCATACACTTATTTAACACATGGCTGCCTCGCCCTTTACCCACAAACCACACTAAGGGTCAGTAGCAGGAATCCCTGGAACCATATCATAAATTAATTGAAGTAAATCATTTTTTATTTCAGATACAGCACTATCAATCCATCAGCCTGGCAGAGATATTTCAGTGCTTGCTTACATAAATGTTAGATAATGTACTCTTAATATATATAATGCTAAAATGGAACAGAATTGTCTGGAAAACTAATAAACCTTGAAGAGCATAGCTCACATAAGCTGGCATTTCAGAATTTAATGAAGCTAGTTAAGCATGAAAATAGTCGGCATAGGAGCTAAGAATATCCTGATTTATATGATTTAGTTTTTGCTGATGCAGAGAAAGTTTAATGATCGGTGAAACTGTCTTTTACATGAAAACCCACAAGACTTTCGAGACAAAAATTTTAAAGATGTGCTTTTTGATGTTTTCTCCAGACAGTTTCTTCATCGCTCTCCGCACTGATTCGACTTCCACCTCTTGTGTTTCCCCAATTAAGCAACTGAGGAGCCATAAGTAGACCACTCATAAACGAGAATGGAATAGATTTTCTTTTATGGTAATAATACGTTATCATTTTATTCTAGTTTTCATCTAAAATTGTCTTATGTTGTCATGCAAGTGAGCAGATGGCAAAATGGATTTTGAGCTATATCACACAGTAACAAGAGTTAAATTGATAACTAACAGTTCTGCTAAATCAATCAAATATGTAGGAAGTTTCTGACATATTGATAAACTTTAGTTGTTTTTTGGTTTTTTTACATTACATCACTTTATAGTCACATTTTTTTTTTGACAAAGTCTGGGATTTGATGTGATGGTTCAGCACAAAAAAACTGAACAATTTTGACATTTCTCACAAACAAAAAGTAAAATTAAAGTACAGTATGATATATATAGTAACGGCTAGAGTTTATATCCCATGGCAAGACTTGGAAAGTGTATCTCCATCTGACTGGGCTGCATGTATTTAGGGAAATTTTTTTAGTCTCTGGACCTGGTAAAGAAATCCCCAGGCTTGTTGCTGTAATTGCACCAAAAAGTGATTTGACATATTAGGCACTGCTACAAATGCTTGGCAAAGTTTTCAAGTTTTTAACTCGTGTAAAGGTTGTACATAGCTGTACAACCTTGAGTTGATTTAGCACATAAACTCTCACTGGAAGATGCTGAATTTTGTGGTTGTAATGTGACAAAACATGAAAAATTTAAGTGAATATAAAAACTTTGAGAGCACTGCATCTGAAAAAGACTTTGGCTTAAGATGTTAGGATCTCTATGATAAACATAAACAAGTATTTATCCAGAAAGATAAATAAAATCAAGAAGACA